CTATATACTTAATGAAAGAAATATACTTAATATAAGATTGTAATAAAGCCGAATTAAATATAACATTACTCATTGCTTAGGCAAACTCGGAGAAAACAGGGACATAAAAAGACCGTTCAAAAAGGGGACGCCTGATCAAAGATCCATCTTTAGCCACAAGAAAAGAAGAAGAGGACATTTAATAATCGAGAGAAAACATAGCTGTGACTATATCCTAATCGAACAAGAAACTACAACCTTTGGTGGTCTGGTTTGCAAGGAGATATGTGAATTGAGTCACAACTTTTCAAACTGATACCAGGAAAAGCATAGTGTTTAGTTGGTATATTGCTCTTGTGCAATATCAACAAGTTTAGGAATCAGTGTCTTGAAGCCCAGCTTTAATGAAGACAGTATAACTATATCCAACCCTTGTGGCAGACCATGGGAAATAACAACTTGAGTAAATTCATATTGTGGCTGGAACTGAGAGAAATTAGTTATCCACCACGATAGGTAAAGTATTTTTTAGGACATAGGAGAGGTTTGGCTAGGAGTTAAATGAAATAATTAGAAGATTAAAAGGCCAGATAGGATCAGCAATTCTGGGAATTTAAGAGGCGGGGGCAAGGCAAACGAGGGGCAGAGGTCATAATGTCTCATTCGACCCGCTTATAAAGCACATCTTTTAATTAGTCTAGCAGCAACAAGGTTGAAGTTGTTATATAGCCGATGTGAGATATGAGGATAGGGAGTAAGTAAAAGCACCAGGACAGGAGGAGAGGTCGTTTTGTAGAAAGTTGATCAAGGGATGAACTTTACTTTTCGCTTTGACGAGTTGGATTTTAGTGCTACAACTAGCATGACCTTTTAAAATCGTATATATGGAGACCAAGATGCTATGGCCTTTTATTTGGTCACAGTCCCCTTTAGCTATATAGTGTTGGTTTAACTTCGTTTTCATTACTTGCCTGGAGCGACAGAGAGATCTTGTCGAACGTATCTAACCCTATGTTCTCTGTAATAATATTCATGCTGGTTTCCAGCATCCGGCGAAACGTCTGGTAATTACCAGGTCGACTGCTTTGTGCTGGTAACCATCATGAATCTAGATACGTTGCACAAGGTCTCCCTATCGCTCCGATCAAGGTGAGAAAATAGGGTAATGCCACAACTTCTTTAAATTTTGATTGCCATTATTTTTTATCAATCGAATATTTAGGATTTGGAGACTCAAGCGTTTCCTATCCAGCTGACTCTAATATCTCCTTCATTTTTTGTGAAAAATTATAAACAATGATTTATTTCAAATTTTATCTACCCAAAGATGTAATGCAACCTACGACATATTATAAGTTACTAACCATTTTTGCATCTCTATTTTTTAGTTTCGATCTACAATCTACAACCCGGTGAAAAGTTGGCCGTTCTTAGTTCCATGGTAGATGAGCTACTTTTGCAACCACAATTTCGTGATCAGATCGAAGCTGGCTTTGAAAGGCAACGATTTCTTCGTCTTCAACTGCGACTCTGTTTGGAAATGAATCTCGATGGAACTGCCCTTTATCCTGATGGTAAGTAACATTTATGCTTTTTTTTACTATCGACCTCTCAATCGTCTATTATCTTTCCGATTCTAACCTTTAATTTTTTAGATGAAAATAGCACACATAACTTGGACACAGATGCTTCTGCTTCGCCCTGCGCCTTTGATACTGAAATAGGGGGCTCTGATACTCCCTTTTCTGCAGCTCCTCACACAACTAATTCAGCCTTCTTAGGCACTGGTGCTAACCCAAATTCTCCCCATTGGCATAGTGCTCGAGGTCGGGGTCGCGGAAAAGGTAGAGGTACCGGAACTGATATGCCTAGCCAAACTCGGGCTGGTGTTAGCCACGGTTGTTTGGGGCCTGGATATAATAGAAACAGTGGGACTCGTGTTCGCCAGCGTGGCCGGGGCCGAGGCCGGGGTCGGGCGCGGGGCTGTCTGGGGGCTGGAACCACATCAAATGGTGGAGTCAGGCGAGCGAGGGCTGCAGCAGCAGTCATGCGCTTTTCTACAGCCATTGGACGAGGCGGCAACACCTTGCATTCCGAGTGCGTCTTTTCCTTTGAATTTTAAATAAATGAATGTGATTGCGTTTTAGGGCACATATAATTTCTTGTTGTCAATTGTTAAGGAAGCCGGATAGTCTTCTTGGCCTAGTGTTAAGAATTAACTTTTACAAGAATCCAACCGGCTGCAGTACAACGAGTTTCATCCGTCCTCATCTGGTGAGATCGACCAACGAATCTCT